GGCTATTATACATCTCTTGTTTGCTGCGTCTATCAAAGGTCTCACAAGAAGAACTTCTTTGGAAGTTTATGTTCATTTAATAAGATGGTGCCACGGTAGTCTAGCTGGTGTACATATCAAAGTTCTTGCTTTAGGGTCCTACTGTGGTTGGCTGGTAGATCAGGGAGTGACAAGTTCTGGTAGAATTTGACCCAGAAATTCCTAGTATGTGTTTAGAAAAACTTCTACAATAAAGTGTTGAATTCATAAGATCATATGGAAGGAAAATAAAAAAGCAAATTTTCACCTCATCTATTCTATTTTTGATAGAAGTACGGACCATCGATTCCAACTTGAGTATTTTGTTGAGAGGGTATCCCATCCTTGATGATGTAGATATAGGGCACATTATAGACATGTTGTCTTGTCTGATAGAAAAAAAATATTGTTACTAAAAGAGGAGAGTACACAAGCTGATGATTAGATACTCCCAAAAAATAAAAAGGAAAGAACAAAAAAGAGATAGTCAAACAAGGAATTGCTGTCCTGTTTTTATGTGATAATGCTCTAGAGTAATTTTTAGAATGTCCATGCACCTAGCCCCAAAGAGAAGCCAAAAAGCACATTTTATCCCGAATAACTAAAAACAGAGAAGCTGGATCCTGGAAGATCCTAACATTCCTTTTCACATTACCCATAATAGAAAAAAAATTATGCCTGTCTCCACAAGATCAAACTATCTTTCCTTCTATAGAACCCTCAAGATTGCCATGAACATCCCAAGTCATGCCAAAAATATCAAAACGTTGAAACCATAACTTGGAGCAAATCACTGGGGAAAAGTGTAATTACTATGCAAGAAGAAGTGATTATTGTTCTCTGCAGCTTAATAACACATAACACAAACCTGTGGAAGCAAAGTGCGATACAGTTTGAGAGTTTGGACCAAATCTTTGAGGTTTAACCTATCTAAGATAGGAGTCCAAACGATAACTTTTACATTCGTAGCTGGATCCTTCTGAAAACTTCTAACAAACGTGGAATTATTGATAAAAGGACTACAAGTAAAAAAAAAAGGCAGAAAAGGGCTTGCAATTAAACATGCTTGAAGCCTCCAAAAGCCAATGTTGATAATCCCAAAGTGACAGAGGTTAAAACTTGTAAGAGGTCATGCCAATGGCTTCCTGGTCATTAAGAATACAGAAAAATTGCATATTCCAAGAATGCAGGCCATCCCTCGTATATAATTCAACTGGATAATTTTTGTCAACTAAAGCTTTCAGATAATTGGTTAGCCAACAAATTAATTAGTATTTTACATTTATTTTTAAGTGGAAGACCCCATCTGCAATTTCGTAGCATCATAAAGCATATCATATGTTAGCTTATAAGAAGTTACTAATTTTTTATGAAACAGTTCTTTAGATTTATTCATTTATTTATTACATTCATTTGCAAGTCCAATACTATCATCTGCTACCTTGGAGCATCTTAAAACATGATCATGTGTTTACTTGTAAGGAGTTGGCAATTTAATTATGAAACAGTTTCTGCTCTTTTGAAATATATGCAATAAAGTTTACTGGAAAATTTGGTTTCTTAGTTGATGAGTGCACTTGAATATTTTTCCCAGGCTTGTGTTCCTTGTAAATCTTGTAATTGCATACTAACCATTCACTTTCTGTTGTTTGTTGTGAGAGTTTATTGTTAATTCTCTCTGGTTCTCGCCTGATACAAAGATTAACTAGTTTTGGTGTTTTCTAAAAAAAAACACAAAAAAAGAAGAAAAAAGCAGTTGGGGCTCATTCCTTTGGCAGTTATTTGGGTGCTTGGAAGGAAAGAAATAGAAAAGTTTTTGGGAGAGTGGAGGAGAGCTTAGATAGAGTCAGAGAGAGCTGGTTCCAAACTCTTGATATTTGATGATGAGGCAACAGTTGTATTCAAAGGAGAATCTAGTAGAACTTATTGACATACTAACTAATTTATAAATTATTTTGTAGATGGGTTTTGCACCCTTTTCGGGTGCATATAATTAATACAACTACACTTTTTATTTTTTTTTAAAAGTCATATTTCTAGTATATTTAATTCAAGGAGGTGACAACTATCTCTGAATAAGCTGCTCCCAACTATTTGTTTCAAGGCTTTTGTTATGAAGATGGCTTTCTTTGGTTTTGTATCTAAAGTTAAATAATTTTGGTCATTGTCGTCTTGCCTACTCCCAGAAGTTCTATTTTCTGGTTTGGATTATAAATCTTACAATCTATCTGAATTGTCATTAAAAATGTGACTTTTTTCTGCAGTCTACACTGTATCCTTGACAACATATGTATTCTAACTTGTTAGGTTTGTAAATTTTGGATAGGGAGTGTCCTATAGATGATGGCCCACGTCAAGAAGATTCATTTTGCATCAGTGTCACCGTAGTTAAGAAGTCCAAGGATTCTTCAGTTCAATTGGATACTGTTCGAGGCTTGGTGATGCCATTTCTCCTTCGTGCAGTGATTAAAGGTTTCCATTCTTTTCAAGCTCTATTTTCATAATTTTGCTTCCAGTTCTTAAGCTTTTTGAAGAAATACTGCTATTAGTTCTGGGGATAATATTGATTTGAGGCATTGTGTTTTTGGGATAACATCTATATATTGAAGAATTCCTTCGTTATGGCTAAACCTAAAAGAAGAAAAAACACAAAAGAAGGGCCCACCAACAGCTGGCATTAAAGAGGGCAAAGGCAAAAAGTATGAGTTAAACTCTGTTTTGTCTTTGGTTAGGTTTAGGTATTTTTTATTTGGAATTTATTATTTCTTAGTTATTAAATAGATAGGCTAATTAAGATAGTCAAAAATCACGGTGACAGATTAATTAGCATAGGAGTTGCTTTTTTATCTCAAAACGCAAATTATGTTAATTGGCTTTTAACAGTAGTAGTTAAGATCCTAAGATTTGGAAACTAGCTGTTGCATCTTCCTCGTATGCATAGGCTAATTTAGTGATAAAACATTAGCAAGATATAGAGTAGCCAACTCTAGAAACCTAATGGTTCTCTCTAATGACCTCTAAATCCTAATTCAACCTTAGTTATGAGCAGCTATCACTTGATATTCAAACTCAAATTCGGGACAATAGCATATTCTCTACCAGGAGCCATGAAGTACAGATTTTGTCTTGCATCAAGCTTTTTCATACTTATGAGCAACCTCCTAAAAATAACTGCTGGTATTCAGCTGTGCTATCTGATGGGTGGACTATACTGATCGTGAAGTTTAATGTCCTTTTCTGTTCATTTCCTCATCATATACAGCTAAAATGTCTATAATGCAGAAAATAAATGGTTTTGAGCAATATTTGACTATCATTTTCTATGTAAAAGAGTATTTTATTATATTTTTATAGATTGTGGAATATATTCGCGATAGATGGACATGTATTAAGCATTGAGATCAAGCTTGTACACTCATTTGTTTTTTGGTGGGAATTCTTCACGTCTTTGTCAGGATTCCCAGAGATAAAAAAGGTGGATATTTTGTGGAAAGATCGACCAAAACTATCAAAATCTTATGACTCTCGTGGTGAACTCTACTTGAGGGTTTCTATGTCAGAGGAACATGGTACTAGGACATCCTGGAATGCACTTATGGATGGTTGTCTCCCGATAATGGATATGATTGACTGGGCACGCAGTTATCCTGACAACATTCATCATTTCTGTTCTGCTAATGGAATAGATGCTGGATGGAAACTTTTTCTTAATGTGCGTTTACCATACTACGCTTTTTTGGGTCTATATATGGGAGAATTTATGGGATTTGTAACATGATTTTGATCTCTATATGTATGCTTCTAAATGCAGAATTTGGACTCTGCAATATCTGATGTTGGGAAGACTATACTTCCAGAACATCTGCTTCTTATTGCAAATTGTCTATCAGCTACAGGAGAGTTTGTCGGCTTGAGTTCTAGAGGGTTAGCACAACAAAGAAAGCATGCATCTGTCGTCTCACCTTTCACGCAAGCATGCTTTTCGGTTAGTCCTTGTTAGATATATGCCTTTTTCTGGATTAAGATGTCTGTGTTGGTGCACAATGGCATAACTGTTTTTAATTTGTGCAGAATCCTAGTACTTGCTTTGTTAAAGCTGCGAAGGCTGGAGTTACTGATGATCTTCAGGGAAGTATAGATGCATTAGCTTGGGGGAAGCCTCCTTGTTTTGGGACAGGTGGACAGTTTGATATCATATATTCTTGGAGGGTAAGTTGAAAATTTTTATAATTAAGTCGATATTTTGCTTGATATTTGCATGCTTTTCTATTTTCTGGGGGTTTTAAATGGAAAAGAAAAATTTATGGGAAAAAGGGACTATGAATGAATCACTTCGTTCATGGTTGCAATATTTTACCTAGATGGAGCACTTCTTTAATGGTTGAAATACTTCTATAATGTAGAGCAAATAT